CAAGTGTTCTCCTTGCGCAGGATTCTTTGTCGCATGACATCACCTTTCCACGCGAATATTTGTATGTGAAGGAAAGGGAAGGGAATAGTAAGGGTAGGAGGCCCTGTGACAAACCAAATACATAATGTAGATACGTGGACTAGTAGGTACTTTTAGTTGTGTTACTTTAATATATATACGTATATTATATGAAAATATATATATTAAATGAAAGTGAACATTAATAATATATATATTCAATGCGACAGGCATTGAACTCATTATTCAACTAATTACTGGAGATCAAGTCAAGAGTCGTTCTAAGACATAAACATTCGTGACTTTTGTTGACCTATTATTGTATTGAAGAATTTTAATTTTAATTTTGTAAATTAAATATACCTAATAATCAGCAAAGTCAGATAATTTTGCTAGTACTCCAACAGTCTTATCTGGTCTACAAAATCGGTAACATTGATAATTTTAATACTAAATGATTGGTTTGAAATTTTATAATGGTAGACAGAAAACATCCAAACTGCACGCGCACAACATGGACAGTTGGCAATCATTCACATATCGATTAACAAGACACTTCCTTATACGAACCGTAGGGAATAGTGGAATTGGCCCCCAGTGAAGAGCATATTACATACAGCTCAAAAACGAATAGGAACCAACCTTCCCTCAAAAGTCTGGCTATCGTAGCTATTATGCGAACCAAGGTCCATGATCTATAAACTGAGAAAGATTAGAATTTTATTGGGTCTTATAATTTAGCGTATTTAAATACTTAACTAATTATTATTTTCTATAATTGAATCACAGTCATAAAAATCCTTAATTTGCATCATATAACCTTCAAACCCTATCAGTGTCCAAATATAAATCATATTATGAAGTTATTGTATTATAGAATTTACCAGCTAAAAGTGATATTATTCAATCAGCAACGTTCAATGATTTGCCTATGAATTTTATTCAATGTCATTCCATATCGTTATTATAGAATCTAATATTAGTTTGATATATTTTTATTGTCATTCAGGGACAATGCTTTGTCGGGAGTAAACCCACATAACGGCATGGACAATTATATTTAAAAATAAAAATTTAAGTACAAAAAGTACAGAGTTCTTAAAGTTTTTTTATATTAACATAGAAGCTCTAAAAATTGATTGACCAGTTACAATTATGCTTACTATAATAAAATATTTAATCTTAGTCGCATAGGTTTTATACAAATTCATTAAAAGAGGGTAAACTTCATTTAATTAAACATATAACACGTTTCTAAGTAGCACTTCGATAGTTCCAGAGTTAGTTATAGACAGTAAAACTACTACGTAGGCCGACATAAGTTATCATGGCCGCTAAAGGAAGACTAGTACAATAGTACTTAAATTTGTTATGCATTAAAAATAAACCGTCATACAAATCAATACGCCATTATGAATCTTATCTTAGCCTATCTTTGCCGGAAATACGGAATTTAGATTAAGTAATGACCTGAGCAAGTACAAAAAAACCATTAACTAAGTGCGTAATAAATCTATTTGCCCACACGGAGATAGGCCAGACAACGTGCTAAAAAGAAACTAGTGACGCTACCATTTAGGTCTGGGCCTCATATCTGAATCTGATTCGTGATCTTTTGCTTTCTAATAGGCCAAGATGATCTGCCTTCTGTGCCTGTCGAATACACACATCGTCGAATTGTTGGGTCTAAGGCATCCCTGTTTTATCACCATTTTTCGTCGACCATACGAACGAGGGGTTGGATTTAGAAATACGTCGCATGAATTTCATGATACTGATTATGTAGGTATCTCGGGGACAAGAGTCCCTCCAAGTAATTTTGACTGCCGGAGTTGCGACTAAGTAAAAAAAAGGGTGCGTGTACTTATGTACGCGCGTAAGAAGTTATACTTCTTTGGCATTATTAAAGATAGTTTTTGATTACATGCAAATAATTAATTACAATTAAATAATCTAAGACTGGAAAAGGAGTCATTATAGTCAATAAAGTTCAGTTTACATTTGAAAAATTAAATAAATAAATATTTATTATTATTCTCTTAAATCATTAAATGTAACATAAATTCTATTATTATTCGAATGTTGTTTTTAAATTATGTCCAATGCCGTAGCATCTTCCGTGGGCAACTTCATTCTGTTAATTTTGTGTCACGGTGCGCGTGCATCGTAAAATTTCACTCTCATCAATTTTTCATAACGCGCCTAAAGAAGTATAACTTCAAAAATTTAATATAATTTTGTGTATTGTATTGAAATTCGTTAAACGAAACGTACATTTAATACTCTTCTATTAATTATTGTAATATTTCAAGCAGCGTGTATTTCAAAACATGTGAAACGAAGCGCAAACCGCTATCATGAATTTCGACATAAATTACACTGACACATTCAATCCGTTACTTTCAAGTTTACGTGAATGTGCTTCTGCATTTATATACTGCTCAAAACAATTAGCGGAACAAGATTTTTCTCCTTTCTATTGCTTAAACTAAAATTAGATTTAAATTAACTTGTACGCTATTTTTTACCTTGTTAATTTGTTAATTACTACAATTAATAAAAAAATTCAATTTTTATTATATTTATTAAAAATAAAATAAAATGTGCATTGTAGACGAAAAACAAAGTGACGTCTTTGAATTTTCATTACTTTCTAATCACAGAAAACACATTTTAAGTAGTTTTTTTCAATCTTTTGAGTATTAATAGAAATTGAAGTGAGCCTTTTGAGTATTGTTATTCATTGAAGCGAGTGAGTTTAGGTCATAATGCCAGATCTGACTGAATTGCATGTCTCCCGAGCTATCGTTTTGCTTGAAGAGGGTCGAACTATACGTTATGTAGGAAATGATCTAGGAGTAGCCCCTTCTGTTATCTACAGACTTTGGAAGCGATACCGTGAGACGGGAGAATACTCACGAAGGCGTGGTCAAGGTCGAAAGAGAAAAACTACACGTTTGCAAGATCGCTACATCGTCAACTGTGCTTTACGTAACCGCACCACAACTGCAAGAGATCTACAAAATACACTAAGGACGGCTACTGGTGTAGAAATTTCCGACCAGACGGTAAGAAATAGGTTGTTGGAAACCAATTTGAGATCACGCCGACCAGTTCGGGCTGTGCGTCTAACAATTCAACATAGACAAGCTCGCCGACAGTTCGCGCAAAATCACGCTAATTGGCAACTTCGACATTGGAGGCCAGTGCTTTTTACTGACGAATCACGATTCCGTCTAACACGTTGCGATGGTCGTCTCCGTGTTTACAGACGCCCAGGCGAGCGATACAGTGCAGCAGCAGTCCAGGAATATGACAAATTTGGATGTGGCTCTGTGATGGTTTGGGGCGGAGTTAGTTTGGACGAGCGCACAGATCTCGTCGTTGTTCCCGGGCGCTTGTGTGCTCAAACTTACATTGAAAATGTGCTCGAAGATCATGTTTGGCCCGCAGCATATGGTATGGGCCCAGATTTTCTTTTAATGCAAGATAATGCCAGGCCGCATACTGCAGCCATCACGTCAGATTACTTACGACAGCAGGAAATCCGTGTAATGGAGTGGCCTTCCATGAGCCCTGACCTAAATCCAATTGAACACATTTGGGACTTGCTTGACAGGCGCATCCGGAAGCGTCCGATTGCACCTCAAACACTGCAGCAGCTCACTGAAGCGTTGATTGAAGAATGGGAGCGAATTCCACAAGAAGATATTCGGAGGATCATACGAAGCATGCCGCGTCGTTGTCAAGGGCTCATGGAGGCCACACACGTTACTGAAAGTCACTAAAGACGAATATTCAAACGATATAAGAATATTTCTTTGATGGACCTTTTTTATCACCAATTAGTTTTTCGTCTACAATGCACATTTTATTTTTTTTTTATAAAAAAAATACAAATTGAATTTTTTTATTAATTGTAGTAGGTAATTAACAAATTAACAAGGTAAAAAATAGCGTACAAGTTAATTTAAATCTAATTTTAGTTTAAGCAATAGAAAGGAGAAAAATATTGTTCCGCTAATTGTTTTGAGCAGTATATAATTTGTAGTTTTTGGAAACTTGTTAACTTGTTAATTGTTTTATAGCATTATTAATTTATATTTACTAACCAATTTGGGCGACGGATTTCTAAATCGTTACGAAGGTTACATGACCAAATAGACAGAAAGCCCATTGGTGCACAGCCGGATTTCGAACCTACGACGGCCTCAGGGTTAAGAGTCGCATGTTATTTACCTATTGGCCAATACTGCTCAGACAATATGTAAACTAAAAATTAATTCAACAAAAAAGTTTAAACATAAGTAAGCCCTTTAACAAATACTCACTCAGACTTAATATTTCGATTCAATTATTAAACTATTTTAAGCGAAGAAAAAAATTAGTTACATATTTGACAGCTAAACTGTCAAGCTTTATTTTAAAAATGGGTTACCAATTTTATAATTAACTAGCTGTTTTCTACCACGCTTCGCTGTAGCACATTGTGATTGAATGGTTGAGAAATAAGAAACAAAACAAAGAAAATAGTTCATATAAGTTTAATTTTGCAATACTTATGTAAAAAATAGATAAAAACAATCATTGATGCGCATTATATATCATGCTAGAATTAATGCTCGACCGGTGCAGAACTTTTTGAGTTTTTGAAGCGTACACATTATTATGATATTATGTTACGAAGTATTAAATGAATAATAAAGAAATTTAACTACTTATTTGGAAAATCCAGTTTTCGGTAACTCATTTTAATTAATATCGTCAATTAATAGGAAAATACATACTTTATAATGAAAAATGCATGTATTGGCCGAGTTTTATTATTTTTTATGTGAAAAAGTTCTATCTATAATATTTTAATTATATGTATAAAAATTAAAAAGATCACTCGAAAGAAAACCAACACAATATATATATAGAAAATCTTTATTAACATTGAAATATTTTTAAACGTTCGTTGTGTTTACCGGTCCTTTGTTTTAGAATGGATGTTTTGAACCTGTAGTTAATCCATATAGGCCACTTCTGAAAAAGAAATAAATGTCATTTGAAATTGTGTTAGATGTTAGATATCAATTACCGTGTTATTCTTCTAAGTACTTCATGAGACTACTACGACTAATTACACCTACATTCACGGTTGAAAATTTAAGGCCCGTTCGATTAATAATACAACGTTGACTTTGGTCTTAAATCTTTCATTTTACATTCTCACCACCCTGGCCAATTGGCCAATTTATATAGAAATTTATACTATCATGAATTAACATTTCAAATGTATTTTTTTTATAAGTGAATCCGCCGCCCATGGACACTAACATTGCCAGTAGGCTCGCAAGTGCGTTGCCGATCTTTCAAGAATTGGTACGCTCTTTTCTTGAAGGACCCTAAGTCGAATTATAAGATATGCATTTTAACTTACCCGCTTTTGTTTAATTGAGCATTGCCCATCTTATGCTGCCTTCCATTACACCGTTGGTTGCGTGCTTCGTTAAGATTGTTACATTGTCTTCCAACAAAATGGTCATGGGTTACGCTAGCAGCAAAAAATTCGTAGGAACGACTGTGAGAGCACGGGCTTAAAGCGCACCCAGGCTGTCTATGTCTACCACCATTCGGGTAAAAATCAGCGTCAGCAATAACATCAAAGATACCCAGTTTACCGCCATCAGTGTGGATGGTTTCTACGTAACGTCCATCGTTTCTGCTTAGGGTATTTGAATTCCTCGGTCCCCATTGAGGACCTGCGGGATCTAATCCTGAAAGAAGATAATAGGATAGTATCTAAGTTGAGGCATCGTACAGTGAGGGGCTAAACGTATGCTGTTCTTATTTGGACAAGAAAAGTTACAAAGCGTAAAGAAATTGTCTTTCGTCCCACTAGGGTATTACAGCTATGGAAGATAGGTGGACAGAAAGTGCTGAGATACCACTATAAAGAGCAGAGCCTTCGAAGCAAACCAATTAATCCTTAAACGATTTGGAACTAATTATCTAGTCTTCACTTGGAAACTCGCGAGAGGACTGGCGTAGCAACTTCCCCAAGAATATTTCAATTATTCAATTTACTAATATCATCTCCCTCGGACAAGCAAAGCTGGGGCGGCGGCAGAGCAGGCGGAAAATAATAAACGGCTCAAATATAAGTCTTTCCTCCAACGTCGATTTTATTCCCTTGGGAGTAGAGACTTGGGCCGTGGGGTTCAAGTGGACAGGAGCTAATTCAAGATTAAAGTTGGCGCAGATAGTACCGACGACCCCAGAGCTGGTACTTTCCTCGGTTAACGAATAAGTATCGCAATACAGCGATGAAATGCTGCCAGCGTTACAAGTACACTGCCACAGGGACCAAAGTTTTGAAATTTGTTTTAATTTTCTTTATATCAATGTTACTATTAGGTACCTACATAGTTAAGAAAATACTGTATATTTTATAGTAAACATTGACTAAATATCATTCATATAGAGTGAAATAAACTTCTGTATAAATGCTAGTCTCAATAGAGATTATTCCTCTTAACTTTAAATAGTTTAGTTCCGTACCAGTTATACGTCCAACACGTCCACCAACGGTACGACCAGCGTTTCCAACAACATGAGCCCCTAGACTGAAGCCAACAAGATGCACGTTGTTCCAGTTACCACCGTGTCTGGAGATCAACCAGTTCAGAAAATGACCAAGATGATGACCAATTCCAGGAACTGATTGTACTGATGTTGTGTAAACTCCAGCTGCGGCTCTTCTCCAGTCGACGACAATAACGTTATAGTCGCCAACTCGAAGGAAAGCATCACGAATCATTGGGTTCATTGATGAACTGCCTTTGCTGTTCCATCCGTGGACCACAACCTTAGTTGGTAAGTTTCTGTTGTAGTTAGAGTTGCGTACGGAATTATCGTCGTTGACCGTCAGAACCTGATGGTTCGTTGGATTACGTCTGAAAATAAAAATTATTGTTTACGTTTTTTTTAGATTTCTTCACACTCGTCCATTTCTATATAAATAAATCTGACCTAGTGTATAGCCAGTATCGGTTATTGAATCCATTTAACAATTGAGCGTCTCTGCTGGTAGCTTTAAGATCTACCAGATGAATCTTGTTGTCTCCATCGGGCATCCATATATAGCGACTCACTCCTTCTACATAGTGACTGTTGTCCCCTGGTACAGGCGGATACTGATCCGAGTTTGGGATCGCACTACCAGTACATACTAAAAATACACAATATACAAATTAATGTTACAAACAAACCTTAATAGATGTTATTACAAAGATCGATATTAATATAGGTATCGGAATGCAATCTAATTTTCTAACATAAAAGATAATAAAAATTAAAATTTTTAATAAAATGTGATATATTTTGAGTTTAATATATTATGAGAATTAATGATTTATTGTGGATGTTAGAAAATTATTTGACTCACATGCTACATAAACAGATAACGCTACAAACAGCCTCATGACGATCGAGAAGTCAATTGACAAATTAAATTTTAACTTTTGGGGGATCTGTTATATTTATAGAAAATTACAATCTACGTAATTAAGTAAGCATATCTTATCAGATTTGCAATTTTATCTTTTATTAGTACTATTACTTCGTTTTAGCATTGTCCGATAAATGACACCAGCCCTGCGATTCTGAACTCGGCACTGGATGTTGAACTCCAAAGGGAACAAAATAAAAGTTTAAGGAATGATAGGGATTTCCGTTTATTGTTTTCTATCTGCTCTTAGATTTTGTAACTCACTGTTAATCCGTGAGTCCACTACGCAGTAACAGCGCTCCCTTCGTCACTGACGTAATTTTTGGAATCTCATGGTATTCTGTTAAGAAATTTTACATTACGTCTTGATAAGTGGAGGAAGGTAACCTAGTGAGTTGTTGTCTATTAATATCGTGACAATTGACTCATTTTATTTTATAAAAAGAGTTAATTGTCAAAATTTTCATCATACATAAACAAAATATTTTTAATAAAACAAAATAGAGAACAAAATGGTCGACGTTTGAAATAAAATTAATAATATTAAAAAAAGATAAACTGCCCTGCGATTCTGTAACTCGCTTCACACACTCGCAGCGCTGATTTTTGCTGTCAAATCGTTCGTTTCGGTGTCATGTTACAATTTGGTATTCTGATAAACAATAACCGCGACAAAAGCGCCGCTCAAATGAGATTGTTCACATTTGGAACTAAAATTTGGCACTGCTACACTTACGCTCCAAAATTGTTGGTATTTGGTATTCTGATACATACCATTTGACATCTCATCTCACTTAAATGTACATTTTGATTATTTTAGCATTAAAAATATCATTTTTATCCTAGAACCAATTTTTCGATGCAGTCTTGATCATGTCTTGTCTCCAGCAGAGATAAGTCGAACAGAAAACGATAAATAAGTTAAGATAGGTAAATTTTGTAATATATTTGTATTTTTCTACTATACTAAAATTATAAATCTCAATAATTTCAGAGATCCCCAAATGTTCAAAATTCCTGAAAGAAAAATACATTGTGCCTTTGAAGAAGAAGAATATTACATTTGTATCATACGACAAGGCCCCTGGATATAAAAAGACACAATAGTGCAGACATTTTCAAATTATTGAATTTGGACTACTTATCCTTCAATTTATAATAAATGATAACACAGTACAATTTCGGTTCCTATATTTTTATAAAATATATTGATATAACATTAAGGTTTTGGATAAAAACATTATTCTGCTTTACACAAGTATGAAATACCATCATTACATACATGATGGTTTAAGTACTTATTAAGCTTTTTTAAATTTATCGTTCATAACTATTACTTTTTACAAACTAATTAGGAAATATATTTGTCTACAAAATAAAGTAGATGTTATTGATTAGCTCTATGTGAGGCTGGGTTTGAATTAGTTTTTATTATACTTAAGTTTGTTTTACTGAAAGTTATTTTGTAGTGTGTTAAAAGTTTACTATAATCATTAAATTAAATGTGTAAGTTATTATATTGTTCTTTTATTAACCTATAAAGTAACATGGCTTATATATTTTTCATTTTGGTTTAGCTATGTATTTAACTCGGTTACTACGTTTTCTATAGGCAGTCATTAAATAAGTGGTAGAATTAATTAATCATTTTATTAATATAACAATATTATTAGATACAAAAAAATTTATTATGAAGTACACAATTATCTTAAACACAGTAATACAATTTTTCATATAAAAATCAGTTGTCCAAACTGCATTCAAAATAGATTAGTGGTCTCGGTTTAATATCTCTTCTTAACATTTCAATAATTGGTAATTTTCTTCCTCATTCTTGACAACTACCGCTAATGGCTGTAATACAATGGTTATCTGTTAAAATTATAAATAGGGAGATGTGGTAGGTCACTGTACTGACACAATAATATTGCGTAGCAATTGAATTATTGTAAAGTAAGGAAAATAATAAAAAACTTGCATAAAACACACAAAAACTTATATATGGGATATCTTTGTATTTCTAAGTAAAGTATCTTAAAAACATGTTTTATAATATTATAACTAAGCCAAATATTATTAAAAGTTTTATGGTAACAAGGCTCAGTAATTTCGCACACAGTATTTGATTCAGTACTATGAATAAAAAAATCTTGAGCACACCTATATTTAGACTCAAAAATCCAAATCCAAGTATGTACTTTAAAAACAATTATTTATTAATGAAACACATCCAAGACCCATAAAGGGTATGTTTAGTGCTAAAGTGTAGTCAGCAGCAATAACTATCTTTTGACTGCTTCTATGTTTATTAAATAAGTTATGGCAATGTCATTTCCAACATTTAAAATTAACGTTGATCACTTGAAATGGTATGAATTTGAGCAATTGAAAGCTTATATATTTGATCCAACATACCTAACATGATTATTTATACTTGTATTCTGAAATCTGAACAATTAAATAAAATTCAACTTGATCAGTTAAAATTAATACTTCTCATATAGGAAACCTAAAATTTTTTTTTTAATTGACATTATTAACCAACAATTTCATTATTCTTTACAATGTCGCTTCAATTTAACCTATTACATTTGACTTCAAATTTGCCAACAAACAAACTTTGTTAACTGTTTTTCTAGACACTACTTATTCCTATTTATTTACTATGATAGTTATTATATTTCTAAAATAGTTTTAATAGAAGCAAGTTTTTATGAGTGTTAGTAAAAACATAGGTAATATTGTTATGTGTGTTTGACCTCTGAATCACTTAAAAGGTTGCAATAGTAGTTTCATGGCATCTAAAAAGTACCAACACTTGCACTTACACAAATGAATAAATATATAAACACTAATTTTTCTTCTTTATAGATAGGTACCCTTTTATTTTATAATTACTCAACAAAATATTATATGAAAACATTGGTATTAACCTTGGTTACCTTTAGTAACATTTTGAAAATTTAAGACACCTATCCATCCTGTTTACTTTGAATCCGTAGCCCATTTGCTGAGAGAATCACTTTTAGCGTGACATCATCTTTTATCTTTTTTTTAAGATAATATTCTTAAATTTTTTACAATATATCCAGATGTTAGGTATCCCTTGTTTCGTGCTGAAACATAATTATTATTTTAAAGTTTCTGTCGCTCATATACACCACGGCTGGTCAGTTGTCGGGTAAATACGAAATATAAACTCTTAATTGGAAGTTATAAACAAAATACGTAACTTACGATTGACTAATAAATAAACTCACTACTTACCTTTAAGCGGCCCCATTGCCAGATGGGTTTTAATAATTTTCCTCGCTATTCTATTATTTTCCATCAGATAAATCATTTTTGAGATATTTTCAGTTTATCTTTTTTTTAATATTCTTCATTTTATTTCAAACGTCGACCATTTTGTTTTATTAAAAATATTTTGCTTATGTATGATGAAAATTTTAAATAACAGTGAGTCCACTACGCAGTCAGTGTTGCCAACTCGATCTCTTAGGTAGGTGCTAAATGACATCTCAAATAGTGCTAGATTGATAAAAAATATCAAAAATAGTGCTATTTTTTTAGACATGAAAAAAAAGATATAATTAATTTAATTTTGGTTTAATATGATAATAATTATTTAAAACTACATCCAATCATCTTCACTATCGTCTGTCAATACTGCTGATTCTGCTTCTCGTTGTACTGACGCTGAAGCCGCCGTGGAAGTGGAAGGTTCTTCGCTGTCAGACTTTTTCAATTTAAATGAATACATATCTTTTTTGCCAATTTTTTAAGAAGTTCTTGGGGAATTTCATATGTATGGCAATTTTTATTTAAGTTTTTGAGCCCTGTTCGGATATGAAGAAGTAAATTCAAAGTGTCCAAATTCATTTTATTCCTCAGTTTATTTTTTAAAATGTTTATTGAACTGAACACCCTCTCAACATCGGTGTTAGAATGCGGCAATGATAGTAACATAAATGCCAATGAAACTAGTTCATTATAGGGATTTTCGTTGTTTGCATCTTTATATTGAGATACCTCTACCCCTAACATAGATTAGACAGATATGGGCGCGTTCGATTTAAAAATTATAGTAGCGTTTTATTACTACACCTTGCACGGCTGCGTTTTGTTACAGCAACCAGAGAAATCCGAATGATGGCTGTTTAGTGCTAAATTTAGTGCTAGGTGCTGAATGTTAAATGACAGTGATTGAATTGCGAAAATAGTGCTAAATCTAGCACCGAAAGTGCTAAGTTGGCAACACTGTACGCAGTAACAGCACTCCCTTCGTCACTGACGTAATTTTTGGAATCTCATGGTATTCTGTTAAGAAATTTTACATTACGTCTTGATAAGTGGAGGGAGTGAACCTAGTGAGTTGTTGTCTATTAATATCGTGACAATTGACTCATTTTATTTATAAAAAGAGTTAATTGTCAAAATTTTCATCATATATAAACAAAATATTTTTAATAAAACAAAATGGTCGACGTTTGAAATAAAATGAAGAATAATAAAAAAAAAGGATAAACTGTGAAAATATCTCAAAAATGATTTATCGGATGGAAAATAATTAGCAAGATTAATATAGAAATATGCTTAACCAAAGCATAGCAAGGAAAATTATTAAAACCCATCTGGCAATGGGGCCGCTTAAAGGTGAGTAGTAAGTTTATTTATTAGTAAATCGTAAGTTATGTATTTTGTTTATAACGTCCAATTAAGAGTTTATACTTCGACCAGCCGTGGTGTATATGAGCGACAGTAACTTTAAAATATTAATTATGTTTCAGCACGAAACAAGGGATACCTAGTATCTGGATATATTGTAAAAAAAAATTAAGAATATTATCTTAACAAAAAGATTATTATGTAACGCTAAAAGTGATTCTCTCAGCAAATGGTCGAAGGATTCAAACTAAACAGGATGGATAGGTATCTTAAATTTTCAAAATGTTTCTAAAGGTGAATACCAAT